TATATATATATATATATTCTATTTTCGGTGATATATGACACTAGTGTGTTGCGGGGATGGGAAAAATCGCGGACGAAATTTTGCAGTCAGGACCCCGAAAATGCAGTCGGCTCTAAAAAAGTTGGGGACGGGAATTCTGGGAGAAAAGTTCAATCTCGTCCCCGATCCCTGAAAACTTCAGTCAGCAGGACCTTGAAAATAGGATTTTTTATGGAATAGCATTGAAATAAATAATCTTTAGGTTAGAACAACAATAACTGCGAAGCCACAATGCAGTTTTATCAGCACTATTTCAGTCAACCATATGAAAAAATAAAGAACAAAACTTCTTTGACAAAAAAATGAAGAAAAGAGAATCCACGCTCTATTCCTGCAATTTTTTATTGCACTCATCTGTGCGAGCATGATACGTGTCACTGTGCAGATGCGAAATATTTTTAAGTTTCATTAAGATCGCAAGTTGGTTCTTGTGGAACCTCGCTTAATCATTGGTCTGTGAATGTGAGCAATATTGAAGATGATCGGAGGGTCAGCTAAATAAAAGTTTTCTCGTTCACCGTTATAGGCACGTCTTTGTGAAAGCATTCATCAGCCTGAAATCCTCCCTGGTATTCATTTCTACGAGTCCAAAGAGAAAATCAATTCTAATTTTGCTGACATTCCCCAACTGCAACATACAGGAACAAAAATTTTAATAACGTAACCATAGCATCCCAAGAAAAATTTACACAGTTCGCATATGGGGTCCAATATATGATCGAACGAGCGTTAATGATGCAAAGAATTCCCCGAAAATTTCCAGGGAGCGGGGACCTCTGACAATTCTGGAAAAGTCGGGAACGAAATTTTCCAGTCGGGGACCTCGAAAATGCGGTCGGCTCAAAAAAAGTCGGTGGCGGGGTTTCAGAAATTCCTCGATCCCCGCAACACACTGTATAACACTAATCGTCATGCATTTAATATATTTTTTCATTTCAGGTTGGTTCGTACCAAAGAGACAAATGGCATTTCTTGTGATAAGAATGCTAGTGATAACGCTGAACATGAAGACCATTTACAACTTCTGGTAGCATCAGTCGACGGTTTCTTGTATTGTTATTCAGTACCGCTTGATGGTGGTGGTTGTGAGTGTCAACTGATCCAACAACATGATTTACTTGTCCAGGCATCCCAATCTGCGACTTTAAGGTAGCTTCCTTCATCGACCGCATCCTTGCAATGTCAAAGTTCGGCACCGCACATTTCATCTGGCTCCCATGATCCCTAGTCACTTCATATTGATGATTTAAGCAAATTTTCTCCCATCTAAGTGACTGACCGATTGTTTTTTGATTGAATCAGTCATTGGATTAATTGAACTCATGAATTGAATTTGTTTTGATTTATCATCAAATCAGATTTGTTTCCTTTTTACACTTGCTCATTTACTTTCTCATTTCAGTTAACATTGTGATTGTCGGTTGCCAAATTTTGTTCTCTTACAGAACTTTCAACCGTTTTCTCTTCCTCTCACATACGGGTTCTAATTGTTTGCTATGCTGTGGCAGGATTTGTTGTTACCATAGTTCATAAATTAAATGGTAATGTTCTATGCAAGATCAGTTGATATCGTGTGCAATAGACGTGTCCATGTTTTTTTCTCAATATTTTGAGCATTAAATCTTCAATGGTTTTTGATTCACATTTTGTTGGTGAACGATGCATCATTGAAAGTAGTCATCGTAAAATACATTTATCAGTTGGTTCATGTTAATTGGTTGTTCTACGTACGCAGTATAGGTGTGTAGCAATGAAATACATGTTACGGCAATAACGTGCAAATTCTTCGAAGCTTTCTTGTTGTAATCTCAACTTCACGTTCGTTATCTTTTCTTCAACCGAAGCATCTGTCTGTTTGGCTAAGCATATCTTCTTTTCAGTGAACTTAATAGTGTGAAAAAAAGCTCACGAAAGTGCATTCGACTCGACGATTTATTGATGTTTCGACTGCTGTCTGATTTGTTGTGCATTGCACTCGTCATGTTTCGTTCAGCTAAAGTTATGGATTTCGGAATTTTTAGTATGGTATCGCTCCATTTCCGATCGGTTCAAGCGAATTTCGTTTTTATTCGATGGAACTGATCGCATGCATTTTGTTTTTTGGCGACCAGCACCAACTGACAATAGCTTTATTCATGTTTTGTCCTGGTTGTTCATAGCGAATGTTAGGTGAAGGAAGCTATTTCTCAAATCAGTAGTATTTCGTTCGGCGGAATATATGCTTCTTAGAAGTTAGAAGCCCTTCTTTGTACGCAGGACGTCATGAATTATCGTGAAGTTGACGAAGTTGAGGTCCCAGGTTACGAAAACATGACCTATGTAACGCCTAAAAATAATGCTCCAGTCGTACAGAGCAAGGTACGATTATTAGGTGAAGCGATTTCTTATGTTATTAATTTCTCATGTGGAAAAGTGTATTATTTTCGAAAAGTATGAATCGTTTTCTGTACGCCGGATACCAAGAAATACCACAATGTTGACATGGTTGAGGTACCAGGTCACCTGAACGTGATGATTATAGGTGACAATAATTTGACTGTCCAGAGCAATGCGCGATTGTAAAAATCGAACAATACATTGAAGAACTTATATCTCTGCACTTGATACAGATCTATTATCATTTTTAATGTTTGCAGTGAATAATAATCTCGTTTGAATCATCATATCCATTTCACTGCGGCCATCATCCACTACTTTTCTTGGCCCAAATGTCTTCGATCGAATCGTCCGAACATCGGAACGTTACTGATCACCTGAACGGAAATGGCAACGACTGAGTCAGCTACCAAGTTGGACAGACTGAACGATAGCAGTAGAACAAAGCAAACACATAAGGAAATGCTTGTGAGGGAAATGGCTAGTGAAAAGCGAAATAAATAAATACTTTGCTAATAAGATTAGAATCATGTTCTCGATTGATCGACGATGACCTTCTTCTATGTTGATTACTCAAAGCCGATCGGTTTCTGCGTACTGTTGCTGAAAGCAACTGTGGACAGGTTTATGTACTATGACTATGTACAACTTTTATTGAATATTGTTCAACTTTTCAAAAACTTGTTATATGCCCAAAGACGCGTTTTTCACCGAAACTGCCTTCCAGGATTGGTTGGCTGAGTGTCCACGACAAAACATCACTATTTTGCAACTGAATATTCATATTAGACATTGCAATTCGCATGCAGCAAGCTTTTCAGGATGATAAAAATAAACAAGCAGTCAGTAAGTCAGTCACCTTTATGAATTTCGTCACGACCGTAATTTTCGGTTCCACTTCCGGATCGTTTCTTCTTCATACTACTTTCACCATAATCACCTAGACTGCTACGTGCATTTCGTTCAGATGGGTCACGATCAAGCCAGTGCAATACATAGTCTGTTTCGAGATTGGCATCGAATGTTTCAAACTTAACATCATCTGAAAAGTGACATACAAGCAGATTAATTATCGACCCTGTTTGTTCCGTCATACATGATAACGCCACCTTAGCAAGTATCACAGGCGAACTTACTAAAACAACAAGATGTGTCACGTCACATGCATGCAATGAACATAATAAAATTACCTGTTGTTTGCGGAGATAGATCATAGTAGCGAGTTTCACGATTACTCGCAACACCACAAAGCGTCAAATGCCTTTCGAACGACAATCTGAGCATATCCGAATCGGACAACGCCGCATAGTGTTGTCCATTTACGTGTAATAATGAGGGTGGTGATTCTGCTTTATCAGTATCACTGTTATTGTGAGTATTTGTATTGTTATTGTCGATGTTCTGATTAGTGCTGCGCGTTTTAGTACTGTTACTTCGTACACGGCTATCGAAAATCTCTTGAAATTCGTACAGTCTGCAAAAGAGCCAACGTTTGAGGTACAGAAATGACTGCTTATTTAGCCAGGCTTATTAATATTCAGTGAAAGAATCTACTGCACTTCAACACCAACACTAAAACTCTACTTAAAACGGGTTCACCGCAATCAATTCATAATTCTCATCTTAAAATGTTTGTTATGAACTATGCGACGGAATCCAACTTCAGCACATAACAGGTGATACGACTCAAAATCAGACCTCAACAACCTGTAATTTGTCACTGCATTTTCAGTTTTCGTCGTCAAACACTGAAGTTTCATTCAACTTTGCAAGGTTTACAAACCGCACTTTTGGTTAATCAGTTTTTCTGGTGTAATCTCTTGTAGAGTATGGCGAAAAATGAGGTTTCTCAAACAATAGAGCACTGACTGATGTATACTGGTAATGATAATAAGGATTACAATAATGAGAATAATAATAATCTTGATAATTTCAATGATCTACGTGGTTGGTGCAGGCAAACTAGCAACGCTAGATCCATTCACTGCTGAAAGATCATCATTGCTGTCAGCACAAAGTGGTTCCAACGATTTTGATTTTCGTATTTCTATCGGTATTCGCAACATGGTCAAGAATACAGCTGTTATTGCAATCAAGCCTTAATTCAATAAAGCATTAATTCGGTTTCGTTTTGTAATACTTTGATATAAACTTATCGCTGTTTCTTGATAGAACAAAACAGAACGTATTAATGAATAACGATATTACTCTCATTGATAACCATCGCAACAGCAATGATAACATAAACATTATAATAACGATAAATCAAGGTGACAAATTTTTGAGTGGATAAATGAAACTCTAAAAAGTTCAGTTATCGAAAACAAGTTGACTCAGTTTCCTCTCAAACCAATTTTTTGAAGCGAAGTGTTATACAGGGTATCCCTAATCCAAAGGGTATGTTTTTCTGAGTTGGAACCTCAAAAAGTCTGATATTCGAAAAAAGTAATCATTCAATAATCCATGCATATATTTGCAAATATAAAAATTGCATCTTATTCGGACATTCCAATATATTCACAAACTCTTATACATGCATACGTACATATAATAAGTATCGTTGAATTCTCTAAAATGTATTCCTTTTGGTTTGAGAATATGAACAAAGAATTGCCATGGGCAACACCCCTAATATGAATGAGATAGATGCATATTATCATAAATGGAATGAAGGACACCCGCCTTCTGGACGAATAATTATTCTCATCGAGCAGCAGCAGAAAAATTAATTCTTCGAAGTTGTTGTCTCGCCAATTAGATTGATTCGAACTGCCAAATTAAGCATTTGCTGCATGATTGTATAATACTTGCGAAATTTCTCACGCATTTGACGTTCATTCAATCATTCATCATCGATATTCATACAAGTTCGATTTTTTAGCTCAACTTTTTTTGAAAATTTTTGAAGTGAAATAAACAGATTATAGCAATAAGTATTACAGTTATGCTGACGGTAGTGAAGAAGTTTTTTAGGAAGTTGGAAATTTTCGGATTATTTGTTTGTTTTCTTATTAACTTAGTAGCTTCAAAAATTGAAACAAACATAAGTAGTAACATGGCTCTTCCGCATACCACAATAATTAGAATCATATGAATACGATACAGTTGCAACAAACTAAACGAATTCAGTTACCATTTAATAATATACAATAACAAAGTTACAGTAAGTAGCAATGCAACGAGTAGTGAAGATCGAACAGCGAAACGATAATTAATGATGAAATAAATTATTCAAAATGTAAAAGCGTGTGCTGTTGATGTTAAATTTATTTGATTTTAGAGGTGCATTTGATTTCGTGTATGAAGACTTTGGTGAGGTGCATGAGAAATATGTTAATGTCGCTGCATTTATTGCACTGGAAAGCAGCAAGCGCCAACTATCAACTGTTCTATGTGGGAATAATTTTAGGCTTTTAGATAATTCTTTGTACATGCGATAATTATGAATGGACCTAGTATTTATCTGCGAGGGAGGATGGGGAAGGAAAGTATTACAGTTCAAGTCAATATGACTTCAATAATCGTGAGGAGGTCAAAATAAAATCGCCTAATTTCAAGACTGTCAGTCTCTCTTAGTAATTGGTAAAAAAACGTTTCGGCGTGAAAATCGTTGTGAATATTTCTGGACATATTCAACCAAATCGATTTTATATCTTTAGATAACTGAAATGCAGTACTGTATTCTAATACGGGACGGGACGTACATGTGTTTTGAAAAGTCAGGGTAGGGTTGGCAACTCACGAGTGATAAACGATCTTAATATCATGCTGGCTCTAGGTTAGCGCCTCTAACAACCCTCCCAATACAATTACGAAATGAAAGTTGGTGAGATACGGTAATACCAAGATCAATGAATAGATCATAACTCTGGAATTTATGACCAGTAGACGAAGAGGTTTATTGTGACCTTCGTAAAGTGAAGTTGTTTTTTCATTTGCAATTTCCAACAAATTCTTCTTCATTCATTCGGTGACCCTGTCAATAGCTGTTTGGTGGAATGGATGGTTGGAATGATGATAATAAACAACTGATTTCAAAATATTCTTTAAGAGTTTAAGTAATCAATCATTCCATAAATTTAGATAGACTACATGTGATAGATATAGAGTGACAGCTTTCATGTTCCCGCTTATCACCCTTTTCAAAGCTTGGTTTGGTTATAGCAAGTTTTCGCCAATCGGGTCTTTCAGAACTGAATCAAGATCGGCAAAAATATGCATGAGTAGTGTAACTAAAGAGCAGACACTTTTTTAAAGAAGGACGTAAGGTAATCCGTCAGGAAAGAAGGAATAGTGTAATGGAAGGCTTGAGAGGGTGTTGAAAATATTGGTTGGAGTAATATCGACCTAATCAGTCGACGAATTGAACATGCCTAATGGGGTGATATCAAAACCAAACACCTTATTAGAGTTGCATTTTTTTCATTAGAGAAGTGATGTGGATGAATTCTTTTGTCTGATTTGAGAAGATCGAAGAGCTTTCGTTACACTCGAAGTTTCAAGCTATTAAACAGGTTATTTTCTAATATATGGCCTGTTATTAGTGCTTCGTTCATAAACTACAAAATATTTCGTCATTCTCTCGAATAAGTTTTCTTCCATCAACTGTCACGCCATTATAAGAGAGTGTCAATTGTGATTCAATAAACGATATCGTGCTAATTCAGCCAATCTGCAATTCTGTTGCTAATCCTTTACTTACGTTCTTCTAAAACAATTCTTCTCGGTCGAATCGAGCGATGATCGATTTATGATAACTGAATGTGTGTGTGTACATGCAATGCAACTAATGAACACTACCAAAACAATGGCCACAAATCACTCAATAATAAGTTCGCAAACATTACAAAAACAATTTCAGTACCAGCATAGGCAACTGACATTTCAGAAAGTCCTACCTTCGAATTAAGACGATAATCCTCGAATTTTTTGACTTTCAGATTAATTTTAGTCGAAATTCAATGAGGAATCTTTTGATCCTCATTTTCGACATCAACTCAACAAAATTATCATGGATGTTGACCGCAAAACCATAATTATTGACACTCTAAACTTTTGAAGTAGTCATGTAAATATGAGTCAAAATATAAAGCTGGGTATATGTTTTCTTTTTTCGACCACGATCGTATTATTATACGTATTTACAGTTAATTTAACATTTGCATACACACATACATAATATGATTACAACAATTTCAACTAAAACGAAGGAGTGTTGTGATCGCTGCGGAAATCATGACACATTTTTTGCAATTGCTATTGTTGAGAAGGAATAATTTTTTCGTTCGGAAAATTTGCAAAAAAACGAAATTTTCTTTGGCTCTCTATATTCTCACTTATATTTTTGCATCAGTCACAAATGAAATCACCTCACAAACATGTTTATATTTCGTAATTATTATCATTATGAATAAGGAAAATCATTATGAGAATGTTGAGTTGGTTGTTGTCGCGGTTTGTGCACTGAAATGATCCCATTCATTTCAATTTAGTTCAGTCCTTCCAAATTTTGAATTTTTAAAAAAGATCATCTCAAAATAGTTGCACAATTAGTCGTCAGAATGCGACCATACGACGACGAAATTCTGACGAAGATCACCAGTGATCTTTCTTGTTGTTCTTCTTTGGTAGTCAATATGCAGAAGGTGAAGACAAATCGAGGACCACTCCTCGACGTTTATGATCAGTCGATTGATTGTTCGCAAATGAGTATTCACCTGAATGAAATTTCTTCAATTATCATATCTATTCGTTGCGTTTTGCACAATTTGTTATGTGCACGCGTTTCATCTGTCTATCTTTCACCCTTATCCGTTTGAATTAATCTCAACGTGAGTATAGTTTTAAGATAAACTTTAGGCTATAGTAGAGATAGTCAAAACGTATGCATTCTGCAGGTTTCCATTTTCTTTGTTGTTTTCTTTCATGTTTTTAAAATCTTTCTCAGTGAACGGTAGGCGCAGTTCTGTTGGAGGCGTGAGCAACGGACAATAATTCTGTGAGAAGACAGTCAATTACTTAACACATACATTCGAGTGGTATGAATTTATGAATAAATGAAGGAATAAGAAATAAATGTGAAGAATGGTCACAAGATCAGAAAAGGAAGAAGTTCACAAAAGTGGATAATACCGGATCAGACTGTATTGTATAAACTGGTTGGTAATAATTAGTTACGATCAAAGTGATGGTTAGGACTGAAATAACAAGAGTGGTTTGTTTGAGTGTTGGTTGCGATCTATGTGTGTGCTTGCATTAAACTCATGCCTAAGAAAAAGGATGCAGAATGCAGCCATAAATATAACGAAGAACGAAATTATACAGTTCCGGCAAGTGAAGTTAAGAAAACGATTAACTGCTGTCGATCACCGTCAATATAATTATGTTACTGCTACTGCTCTAAAATATCATTATTCGAAAATAACGTATCTCTATGGAGAGAAGCGAAATAAGTGTATCGCCACATTCATTGACTTGATCCTTCTTGATCTTTTATCACATTTTAAAGTTTGTTAATTCTTACGATCCGAATGCTTTTCAAAAGCCCGTCCAACTGCTAATTCGTATTTCAGCTTTAAAATCGGTCTCTGCCAGACCACACACAGCTTGTCATTATGCGTCATATATCCTGAATTTGTAAGATCTAGCTATGTGTCAAGAGTTCCAACATGAGGCTTGAAGCAAAATCTAGAAGCTTAGGCTCAGACTCAGGTTGATCCGGAACTTAAAAGCTTTTCATTTCACTGAGACATTTGAAAGCGTTCATCTTTAGTCAATGCAATATTTCAAAACTGAGGCCCTGTGATCAAAAAATGTATGTTTGGTAGGTACTTGGTGGCACGCAAGTATCAAATGAAAAAGAAACTAGTATCTGTTACTCAAAAATAATCAATCATTCAATAAATATTGCTTTCAGTTAACCGTTTCGGAGAAGCACAATTCAAAAAATCATCCTAAGCGAGTTGAGAAGATGGATTTAGTCGGAATAGAGAATGAATAAACGATTACTGTACTAATTTATTCAGCGCAATGCGAATGCTGAAGCATTCTTCGTTTGTGCTATTCATAATATTTCATGGCTATTATCTATCAACATTATTGTTGCTGAGAACTGTCAGCTGTTTCGAAATGTCGCATATTATTGGTAGGAATGAACATTTTTGTTGTCATGCTTCTTGCGGTATTTCTTTTCAAATTATGCCGTCAGTTCTTATCGGAATGAATTCATTCATGTTCCTTCAGTTCACGATCACAGTTTGATACACATTTCAATTATATCCTTCTGGTATTTTATCGCCCCGTGATAATATCATTCATTCAAACTTCACTCGATTCCGTACGGAGAAAACCTCAAATGCATTGCAAGAAGGGTATTTTCGCGGAGTTTTTAAATAAATTCAACCGAAGATCGCGAACAGAATCGCTTGAACGGAAGAATATCATTTCAGCTGCGTCAGTTGATTGCAGGTGAACCAACACTGAAATGTTCACAGTCGCATGCCATATTTCACTTCAAGTCCGATTATCCATTTCAAGGACATATCGAAGTGGTCACTAAAGAAAGTGATCAACGATGCCGTGAAGACTATACGGCGAATTTGGCTAGAAGCGTATCATTCCGTCTCCCACTAGATGGTTGTTTCACATTGAAACAATCAGCAAATAATGTTTGTCCTTTTCTTTCGAAAGAGACGAAATTGAATCAAAATTGTTTTTCAGTTATCCAATCAAGTATCATCAGCCATAAAATATGAGATTTGCTGAGTATTTGCATACATTTGAACTTTCAGGCTTCAATATCGCTATTTTCCGCAACTATTATGGTTGTTTTCCATCCGGTGAGTGGAAATTCTTTTAATAACTCCAGTATTGCATTTCCACCAAAAAACTATTTTCAGCGAGCGATTCCTTCATCTAATTCGCTTTCTGATCATTTCTTCCTCTCAGTTCGGCGATTTTCGTTCTTTGACGCTATACGTAAATTACTGGAATCGATATTCCTCGAATTGCAGGTTGTATTAACGAATTCGACAAGAGTTTTTGCGATTGAATGCGAAAAATTGCGTGATATTCGCTTGGTAGCACCGAAGTATGTCATAAATTATTATTGCATTACCGCTTAAACGCCTTTTCAAATGGAACATAAATAACTCATTAATGACGCATAAACTAAGCTGTTTAGAGTCTTTTGACGATTGTCAATTGTGTGTTTGCTTGCTACATATTCTAAGAAAACAATTGCTTTTCACTTTTTATGACAACATTCCAACCAATTGTCGTGAAGTATTTAATGGCTGTTAAATAATACCAACAACTGACTCATTGTAGGACATCAAGGATGAAGTCTCAATTATCGTGCAGTTATAAGGTGAACAAACTAACGCACCAGAGAAATCCTGAAAAAATCGATAATACCAGCATCATTGTTAATGAAAATAGTAATAATGATAAGAATAGTAATGACAATAATAATGATAACAGTGAAAATAATACTAATTCATTCGTTTTTGAAATCGGTGACATCTTACAACATCAATGGGAATGTTCTTCAACGAATAAAAGTAACTTTGACCTTATTTTTGTTGAATTTTCACTGAACAAAATGGAGCCACGTGTAAATGGCAACATGCGATTTCATCGCCAAGTCTTCAGTGTTTTAGTTGTCCTTTTCTAAGTAGTTGATTCAAAGATAATCAACTGTGCAGCAATAACCTGCTCTGAGATTATGAACAACAAACAATTCAATCATATCATTAGACCATAAGTATTTGATCTCATTACGCTCACTGATTATTTCTCACTGAGTAATTTCAAGATGATTGTGAGCATGGTGCGCACATTTTGAATTTCATGTTTCAGATAAAAATTTTGTGGCAATTTACGTGCATTCATGTGACGCAATCAATGAAGATAATAACGTTCTTCATTTAATGGACAATTACGGGTAGTTCGTGTTAATGTTAATGTTAATCATTTTGTTTATGTGACTGCAGTTGTGTTCCTCATAAATAAGGAGAAGCTATTTACGTCATGATTGTAAGAAAAACCATAACTTCACAAGCAATTATCCCAAAACTCGAAGCACTCGCTTTTATCGCACTACTGTGCAGAATGGGACCTTTTTGCATCGGTCTTTCGGGTTTAAGAATTGTCCTACCATAGGGACTTCATGAGGGGTCTCTATTTTTTGCCTTAGGCTCCTGTCGTATACAAGCAACAGTGCCAACACATTTTGTATTCTTACCATGAAGCACCTCTGAACCGATCGAATTACATGAAAATTCAAAGAGGTATATATCGTAAGAACACTCAATTCTGCAGTACTATTTGTGAAAATGCAGGCTTAATTGAACATCTGTGATGAGTTAAGGTGTGTTGTTGATTCGGATATTATGGAAAATGTTGAATATAGCATAAACAACGGTAGTGACACTGCTCTGACAGCCACAACGAGGTCGCAAATGTTCAAATTCTTGCACGGCAGAAGATATAGAATATCATGTCGCATTGAAGCTTGTGAACAATCTCAACACAACTGTATCATAAAAACGGTTCCTTCATTCACATTAGTCACAGTGGTGCATTTGTCAAATTTCTTGGATAGGAGAATTTATTTCGTGCATTTTTTAACACAATTCCCAAACTTCTGCAAGATGGAAAGAGTCGATCCAGATGATTGAAGATTTTTAGCCTCCAAAATGTGCGATCACCAAAGAGCAAATAAAAGAGATGAATTTATCGAAGAAAAAAGCGTTGAATAAGTTCACAGCGCCATACGATAGTTATGTGTTGCATGGTTAGTACAAAAGTTTCTCGCTCTTTTTATCATTTCAAAATTCCTCAAACGAATGGACGTAGAGGATTGGAGGGAGCATAATTGTTTCATGCTTAAATCTACATAATTATTTTCGATGTGACAGCAGTCATCGAGGCATTTTGCAGATGACAAGTCAAGTATTTCATCTGAAAATCATATTACAATTGTGAGTCATTGGCTCACAGCTTCATCCAAGCGACTTGAAAATGAAATGCGTAATTTCTCGAAAGGTTTTTTTGCGTCCTATTCATTTCTTCACATTAACTTATTAATCTATTTATTAATTTTATTTCGATCACTTTTTCCTGAACAACTTTCCGCTGTTGCTACTGCTACTGCTATTAATGCTGTTGATTACAATGTGAGTGAAATATTTCAGTATAGAAAATTTGATAATACTTTGTAGCACAAAAAATTTGTAGTCTTCTTCGTGATGTTCACAGGTGATAGTCAACTGTAAGATCGATTGCAGATCAAATGCTTCGAGCGATTATCGCTGGAAATGACGATGACGACGATTATGACGAAAGTAATACGGAATACAAGATGAATAATGGAGAGCAGGAGCGAGCCAATGAGTCTCGATATGAGCAATTGTTTTTTGCATCCAATACGCGTTTTAATCCTCGACTAGCATTTCAAACACCAACATCATCACCACTGTATCACACGGATACGAGTAAAAAGCTCGACGATAAGGCACTTGATTCGCAAAAAGCACGAAAAGTAAAAGATTCAACAGATGCGCATTCAATGTTCAGAAATTTCTCAGCTCTGAGTAAATCTTCAAGTGATGATGCGATAATTGATGGCGGACGACTGCGACCAGAAAGTACTTTTTTGTCGATCAATTCAACGAGCGCCATTCATTTTAATGCTAACGAAACGATGACGATTGAGAAGCCAACAAATGAAAAGGACCACGAGACATCGAATGTTCGCATCTTTAGAAGTGATCATGATGAACAAGATAATGAAAATGCAAAGTTAACAACTTCACCAGTTTTTGTGATGAATGCAATGAGAACAACGGTAATCAAGCGCATAGAAGAAGAAGACGTTTATCGTTTGAACGTAACTGAAAGCGTAAATGATCATGACAACGGTACGTCGACTAGCACTGAATATCGTATGACCGAGGTGGAAAGAAGCTTAAATGACGAGAACGAAATTCAAAACAATGACGAGCCTAGTGGTAATAGCCATCGTTTCAATACCATTAGTGCTGTTACAGCAGCAAATTATGCTGCGATTGCCGAGGAAAATAACTTCAAGGAACCGATTCATCATGATGGAAGAGAAGAAATCGATGAACAATCACACGATATTCCTAGAAATGTTGTGAAAGAATCCGAGTTAGGCATGCAGGATGGCTCGTCAGTACGAGTAGCAGAAACAACAACAAAGATTGTGGCGTTAGAAAATAACTTACAGTCGTCAACTGGCTGGGTAGATGCTGAGCCATCGTTGCCAAAGCGAATAATCGTGATGAGAAATGAAGCTGTATTGGATGGTGACGACGATTCGGAAGTGGTGCAAGAAGTGCGTTCTTGGAATGAAAAGCACGCAATACCAACAGAAGAATCACCAAAAAGTATGAACAAAAGTAGCAGCGAATTTGGAAATGAAGACAATCAAAGTCCCTTGTTACTATCAACGATATCGGCAGATGACGATTCAGCCACTGACATTTTTGATGCTGCTTCTGAATATGATGATCAACAAACATTAAGCAACGACAACAACAAAATTGTAAATGGTCAGTCTGCAGAGAGCGTTCAATCGGAAGCAAAGAATGATGTAATTAAACTTGAGAATGATAAGTTATCGTCGTCAACGACAACAGCGACAATAATACCAGCAACAACAGCAATGGATGATGAGTCAAAAAATCTGTTTCATGAAGACACGGGCAATTTTGATGATTCTAAAAACGAAAACAATATTGGCGTCGCAGCAATGGTTGATGCTGTACAGATGAAAGATTCTGCAGCGAAAGGTGAAGGCGTATGGTCGTTACGGTTAGGTGATGTTGGACAACAGAATTTTTCGACGACATTCGAAATGAAGAGCGTTGCTGATAGTCATCAATTTATTCAGGCAAATGAAGCGGCAGATTTCAGCGGGATACAACGCTCGGTATCCATTTCCGAAGAGCATCTGAAGATTGACAAGGATAATGATGCCAAATTGGGAACGCAAGCAAGTTCAGAGTTTGAAAGTGCTGAAATTTTAGAGAAACGTGCCAATCAAAACGTGATCATCACAAGTCACAAATCTGCGCGTGAACTCGATGGTTTCCATACTCAGGTTTGGTTGTTTTTTATCTAAGCGTTCAAAAAATGCTAAATATCTCAATGTAGTATATCCCAAAAAATGCTAAATATCCCAATGATCAATTGGTTGAGTCGGTTCCATGAAATCTGACCGATCCACTGCGGTGTTGTTAACATGTTGTTTTTTTGTTTTTTTGTGTATTTGTTTACGATCTGTTGTTTAGCATTGCGAATGGTCATTATGGCATCATCTACTAATATGGTGGTCGATTGTCTCGCTCATTGGTTGGCTAGCAATATTCGGTCTTTTCCTCTATAACAAATACAAAAAAAGAAATGAGCGTTTCGAAAATATTCAGGTATTAGTGAAACAACTCAAAAAATAGTTTGCTCATCTATTCATATCAATAATCATTATCACTTGTTTTTGTTAATATTATGGTGTTTAGCGATTTTTGGTAGTATAACATGAATTACAGGCAATAGAATTGTTTGTTCACAAATATGTTGCAATTTTTTTTTTGCTCTTTAAAAGTCACTTCAATCTTTTGAATAAAAACTGAGTGAGGTTCTCTAACATTCACGCTTGATTTGTTTTTACAGAGTGCCGATGAACGCCACATTCAACAGTATGCTTCTGCAGATTCGTTACGACGGACACGCAACAATAACGTCAGAATAATTAACAATACAATTAGGTGAGTAATCCTTTTTTTGTTTTTCGATTGGCGTTCCCCTATATTAACAAATTTTGGTAATTCATCGAATATCTCTTTAGTAATAAGAATATGATAATGATGGTTCTTCACTTCTTAGCTCACCGTTTTGATGTAAGCAAAAACTGGAGATGAATGGAATGAAAATTATCACATGCTAATTATGTGTTTCGAATTCAACAAACGTTCAATAGAAGACGTTAAACTCATTTATGGCACACTCGCAACAGATGGAATATCATGTGCTTAAATAAACTTCAAATGCTTTTCGTTGCAATAATTTCAAGAAGACATCCGTCTCCTAATTGTTCAGTTGCATGTTTTTAATGTGTTCTACCAAATTAATTTTCTGTGATATTTTATATATACCGTATTTTTCGGACTATACGACGCACTGCCAATGAATGGTCTAATATCCAACTTTTTTCTTATGTAAAGCGCACCGGACTATAGGGCGCATTAAGGGAATAAACCTTTCGCCACAATGCACTTATAAACCTTAACCAGCGCAGTATGCCAAACAAAATCCCTTCGAGGTCAGTAACCAGAATTAATCCATATAAAAAGGCGATCCCGGTTACAAGGCGCACTATCGTTCTTTGAGAAAATTAAAGGCTTTTAAGTGCGCCTTATAGTCCGAAAAATACGGTACATCCGCGTTTTCATATGTATTTCGTATATTCACTTGTAGGTTGTGCCTTAAATGTATTTGTTGACCCATGTATTAAATATAATCAATATTACATAGATTGACTGTGAGCTAATGAACATTTCACAACAATAGCAATAATATTTGTCACAATTATTGGTCATATCATACAGACATTCACGAAAAAAATGACATGAATATGAAAGGCGAAAACATTCAACAATTTACGGCGATCTTGGATATGGATAAATTAGATGAAAACGCGATGGACACAACACACAGCACAAAGTGCAAAATGCAAAAAATCAGATCACGCATATCACAGCATATGCCTTCAAACGAAAATGTGGTAATGGCAATTATGAAAATAACAATAACGATGATACATCTACCCTTCATCGTATTCACAACCGCAGACTTACAGAAAAAGGCATAATCAAACGGAACGCAACGACGGATATGAAAAATGAAATAAAGCGCGAAATCAGCTGAAATCATTCGAAGAATTCAATACATCGATATAAAACGTCTTTAGATTAATAGGCAATGCATTTGCTCACATTAATGAGTGAATAAATAAATAAACCTCAATATTTACAACAAATCGAAATTAAACGAATGAACCAATGTACTGTTTCTTGGCATTTGCAATGATTCACAATTTTAATAGACTGTCGTTGTTTAATATCCATATATTTGCATCTTGAGGAGAATTTTTTCCGGCTGATCAAGAAATTATAAGGTAAGAAGTGCGATTGTTGAGTGATGATGAGTTCGTTGTTGGCGTTATTTGCAACGTATCCACATGATTCTCATCATCTTTCGAAACCTTCTCGATCTCGGCCAATTCTACTGCATTACAAATTTTTTTCCAGTTCGGAGTGAGGATTGCACTGAAATTTTCCAATTGAAAAACCCACGATTATAGCGAGCATTCGAAATGACAATCAGAATGAACAATAAAAGGTGACATGAAAACTCGGCAAGTGCAGAATTTCAAACAAAACGTTTTGTGTAGACTTGCGATCGCGATGCGATCAACAAGGTTGAATTGGATTGTTGGCCAAGCAATCGTACTAAAGTGTCTTATTTAATTATGTTGGTGGATTTCGGGAGAGACATACGTTTGAAAGGCGGATGATTTCTGAGATTCTGGTGTAGTTGGGGTTGGTGGCGGAGTTGACGGTGTGCTTGCCGTACTCAATGTATGTGTCAACTGCGCTTTTGCATGGAATCCGGACATTACACTTCTTCGCTGTAAGACGAATTGAGTTATTGCAAAAAATAAGAAAAAGAAATCGAATAACTCGGAGAAACTAATGAAGAGTCTTATTAAAAATGAAGCGAATAGAAACGACGGAACTGCTGGCGGTCTGTAAACCTTATATTGGTATAAAAATGCTATAAAAGGGCACATTTTAGCCTCATTTGCTCCAAGTAGGTTCTACTTCGAATTCAGGCTCACTTTTGGGCCTTGGCATACGCTTCTGCTTGACGTGGTAAGCGTGAATACCAATTTCGTTTTGGTAAGGCAGAAAACACAAGAAATTGCTCGGTGAAAACGGTTTAGAATTTTTATGAAGAGAAATGTTCGTAGCTGGGTATTCGATGATCAGAAATCACGATAATGAGATGCAAATGAATACGATCATAACCACACTGATGATGATGATAATAATAATCAATAATTGAAAAAAAAAACATCACACGACCAAGATAAGAGTGACGTTTGAATCGCATTGTTGAGAAGAATGGATGATGATGGAATATTAAATGAAAATTTTGTTCGGAAAAATGATCGAATTGATTTTTAGATTGAAATATGAACACATATAGCTACATATATTTTCACTGAAAATCTATCCGTGTGAATCTATTAATGTCAATCCAAACACAAATAAATGTAATAAAAAGGTATCACTTCGGTTTACCCATTGTATCACTTTCACTGTATTTTGACATTTGCAAATGATTTTTTCTGAATAAAATCCCATGGACTATAAACGAAATGCTCACAAATACAGATTCGGAACAAAGGTGCTATAAATATTCATAAAGTGTAAAATTATTGGATGCGTTCACGTGAAAACAACCATTTACTAGAATGCACAGTTATCACACTGCCATTCTACACTGATAAACGCAAGCCAAATGAAAATAAATTATGAGTTGGTAACAAGCAATGTTTTTCATTTCGAAAATGTTTTCGTTCAAATTTTATTGATTTTAATCACATCATTTTGTGAGTGTATTTGCTCAACGCTAATCTTTAATTGCTTTTGAACAAGAACAGAATGACCTCAAATCGTTTGTTCCTCATTGCTCAAACTGCTCCTATCTGTCTTTAATTCGTCAGTTTTGATGTAATCATCCGATCATCATCTGACACATTCTCATCACCTGTCTATTTAGTCGACTATCAGTATGAAAATTTAGTCAGAAATAAAAATACAGAAAATGATGCAACAACAACGTGTGAATACTCTGATTCAGAGTTGCTTAATCGCCAATTCCACATCAAACAACTCCGCATCTGAATCAAGAGTTGTTTAACTATTTGTCTACATATGATCGTATAGTTGAATAGAGTGGTGGGCAATAGCGCGCTATTCGCTATTCTGTCACTAGCGGAGCCAATTTTTTCGGTCGCGCGATAACGTGCTACTCTTTTCATATAGCGCATTGGTTCTCACTCCCGGAAGCTCCATTACTCCTTTCGATGGTCTGGCAGGCCGTCATTAGTTTCCCCAATACAAGAACTTACTATTTTCACGAGTGAAGTCTTGAAGGATGGTTGAAGACAACCGACAGCTCAAGGCTGTCTGATAGGTGTGAAGATGTATGTGAATGTATGTGAAATTATCACTAAGTCAAGGTGTTAGCAGTACCGAACTCCAGATTAAATTACATCAGAACACAGCAGTGTGGTGCGCAGACGGAAAAAAGTCGGGGAAAATCGGAAAGGAAATTTTGCAGTCAGGGACCCCGAACATGTCATCGGCTCGAAAAAAGCCGGACCGGGAATCCGAGGACGAGGACTCCGGAATTTTCCGATATCGAACCACACTATGATAGAATTTTCAGTACTCACAGTGCATTCATTCTCGCAATGTTGTGAGAGAGCTTAAAAACTTGGTACTCTTTTAGCTGAGAGGCCACACCGCGCCCATGCGTCTGCAGCGTCGCCCGTGAGCCGAAGCCCGTGCGCAGACTCAACGCCGGATAAGCGTGCCTAACATGATTGCATACGAATAAGAAAACGCTTATAGATGCCACCAAAAATGTTGCATGTGAATGCAGGCGGGTTGCAGAGGAAACGGTAGAGAGATAGACAGTGTAGTGGATAATGTTACATAGGCACCTAAGCGCAATGAAAAGGAATAGTGTCTCATGATGGAGCCGTAGTAGCACCTCCGAGCCTTCTTAAGTACGGCAACTGGCCACGCCCACAAATTACGGTAGCTAGCCACGCGGGCACTTAACGAAAACGTTACAAATCGAGTAAGGACAAGAACAGTTGAAAAATCATAAACGGTCACACACATTTATCTGTTTAAGTGACCAGGAATGATCAATGCTGATTTATTTTTAAATTTTATATTGTCAGTGTTAGATCACAACTTGCAGGCTTTGTCCTGCTTACAAGCTAAAGAAAGACCATCTGGACTACGCACATGCTTTCAT